GGGGGGGGGGGGAAGGGATGGTGCCGTACTCGCGTGTTGCATGCCTTGGCCGTTAGACCATTGACCACGCGTCCTCGACATGACGGAGGGGGGCCTTGTTGAGAGTGACAGGCATGAACGAGGTTCTGGTTGGTAGCATCGTATGCGTACGGGTTGTGGCCGCCACCGTTGGTAAGGCTGAAGCGGCGAGGCCTATCTTCAAGACGTGCGGCGGAAATGTCGTGCCTCTCTGCAGGGTGGACGCCCACGGTCCTAAAGGGCTAAAAGGGACGCTCGCTGTGCTTGAATGTGAATGTGTTTTTAGAGTAGGGGCAGCACCAGGAGAATGTCAGACGTACGTGAAGCGAGCAGCGGGGGGAGCGCTGGCTTGCATGAGCAATGACCGGCTTTGGGCAACCTTTTGTTGGTGCTGTGAAGGAAGACAGCACATGAGGTAGTCAAGTAGATGCTAGGACACAAGCAGGGCCAGCCTTCACGGAAAATGTCCCCGAAAAAATGAAAGAACCAAATCATGCTCCCCCCAAAGGAAGGCAAACGTGTGTCCAAAAGAGACGGGGAAGAGCTCATAAGGAGATGGCAACAGCTAGCTCGGCTTTGGCCTACCGTACGTGTAGTTGGCGGTGGGGATCGAGACACGTGGAACTTCAGCATGTGCGATGCTTCATCACGGGAAGTTGGAGTGTATAAAGGCGTAAGTGACCTGCCTTGTGTGCGACGCATCTTAACGGGAAGGTGGAGCGGAGGAGGTGTAAGTGGCCTGTCTTCCCGTCGAGATTGGAACGCGATGCACAAAAAGACAGAATGAACCATGCCCCCAAAACAGGTGGGAAAATGTGTCCAAAAGAGACGGGGAAAATGGTCCGAAAAAATATGGCAAGAGCTTGTGAAAGGTGATGCGGCCTTGTAAGAAGGTGTGGGTGAGCTGTCCGTACCTGTTGGGATAGCAGCTCCTCGCCGATGGCGACCTCGAAGTGGCCCAGAGGATCGTCTGGAGAAGAACGATCCCAGTCCCAGACTTCCACCTTCAGGACCGCGCCCGCCCTGACTTGCCGAGAACGACGACAAACACGCCGATGACGACGTAAAACGGACTATGAACGCGATGACAACAAAGGACATGCAAACCACAACGGCAACCACGATTAGTGAACCTTCTCACTGGATACTATAGTTCACCTTCTCACTGGCAAGCAAAACTCCTCGTCCCAGACGGGATTGAGCGTGGTCTTGATGATCCTCGTCCGGTCCTTCAACCGCAGCCTCTCCGACCACTCCTGCCCGTGCGACAAATACCTGCCGAATTCAATAATCAAACGACGTGAGAAATCTCCCTCTCTCTCCGCCGTCAAATTGACGGCGAAAACGCGTACTGTATCAGAGAGGTGCATAGGTGCTTTGGGGGGGGTTGGCGACGGAGAGGATACCGGAGCCTGTCGGGTGTTTGGCCGGGTTTGGCCTCTGAGACCTTTCCCGCTGGTACGGCTGAGGCATGACCATACAAAAGCGACAAAGGACGGCAAGAAGAGACCGAGACAGTCGACGGTGCTCCGAAAGAACGAGACAATAGGCGGTGCTACGAAAGAACGAGACAATAGACGGTGCTCCGAAAGAACGAGACAATCGACGGTGCTACGACATAACAAGACAATAGCAATAGACGGTACGACAGGAATAAGACAGCGGAAGGCGCTGTTGGAATATGCAACGACAGTCATAAGTGCTACATATACCACAAAACAGAGGGAGACAGTACACGTAGACCGGAAGCCGAAAAATATACATCAGCAAGGCGAATCGCACTTTCAGCCTTTTGTTTGCACGTGCAAGAGTGCCCTGCCGAAACTTCCACGCTTGACACATCGCCAACACACACTGCTTTGTCATCCGCGGTTCGTTCGGCGTTGCTGTCAGGTCCGAAACAGCACCACACTCGACTCTAAACCGCCAAATAAACGTTTCTCGCACCTTCCCGTGAGGCACAGCTTTACGTAAGGGTCGCTCTTGCCGTTGAAGTCCGACGCCATGAGTCCCCTGCCCTGCACCACCTTCACGTAAAGAGTCTAACCATCACCATGACAAGGACAATGACAACGACAACGATGAGCAGGCACCCGCGACAGGGTATGCAGCGTCGTGTCAGGGTGATATTGTAGCGTCGCCGATGGCGCCGGGGGGTAATTCTCATGATATCCTACAGTTTAGAGACACGGAGGTGGAGGGAGGGGAAAGCGGCGCCTGCTTTATCGGCTCTTCCTGCCTAGTCTCTGCTACGGCACCTCCTGGCCCCCACCAGTGAACCCTCGCGTACGTATTGTCAGTTTCCGCCCTGCTGACGTTCAGAAATTACCATGCCCGCGTTCAGCTATCTAATCTTCCACCCCTTACTCCCTTTCATGTTCCGTGCACGCCTTATGTCGCCACCGAACACTCTTTGCTCATCTGGTGACTAACCACTTGTGATCCCTGTCCGAGCCCCCCCTCTTGTGCCTTAAGATACGACACCCCTCTGGTGACTTAAGATACCACACCCCTTCGCGGACAGAGTACTAAATTTTCGCTAGTAAAACTCTGCGGCAACAACATCGGTGACGGTGCCCAACCGTCTCGTCGACAGCCTTTCGAAACGCGTCAGTTGGTTTTCTCTGTCTGTCTGTCTGTCTGTCTCTCTCTCTCTCTCTCTCTCCCTCTCTCTCCCTCTGTGCTCTGTGTGTGTGTGTGTTTCTGATTATGTCCGTCTGCCTGTCTGTCTCTCGGTCGGTCGGTCGGTCGGTCGGTCGGTCTGTCTTGTCTCTCTATCTATCGATCTATCTATCCCCCCTACCCCCCCACCCACCGGGGTTGGGTTTTCGTCGCTTGGCAACGACGTGGTAAAACAAGCCAATTCACTTCGTGAACTCGGCAACCAGG